ACAAATATTTATCTCATCTGATATTCACAGTAGCCCAGCAAGGTAGGTGCTATTATTATCTCCATTTAATAATGGAGAAAACTGAGGCAGACAGATTAAGTGCTCTGCTTAGGGTTACACAGCTACTAAGTGTGTGAATCTGCATTTGAACTCCAGTTTTCCTGACTGCAGAGCCAGTGCTCTGCTACCTAGCTGCCTAATACTTGGGTAGATAGATAGACACGTACATATACATACACACACATACATATACATACATATATACATATATACACACACATGTAATTTGTGGAATTGAGTTACTGCCCAAGGAGCATCCTGGTTAAATATGGAGACTCATCACTAGCTTTAGTCCATAACTAAAAAAAAAATCATTCAGTCTTGAATTTTTTTATGACTTCCTGAAGCATTTAAAAATAAAAATACAAAATGGTTCTCAGTTCTAGGTTTGCCATTTTCCTTTTTCTTTATTTTTAAGTTTTAGAAAATGTTTTTATTATGAATTTGGTAATCATCAACAGACACGAGCATTTCAGCATCCAAAGAACACCAAAGTTGTAGGCCTAGCTGATTAAGAAGATAGTGCTTTCTTCAACAATATTAGGGAACTTCTTAAGAGGGAAAGTTTTCATGGAAATGTTGATGAGTTCTGTTTTGGACATAATAAATTTGAGATAACCTATGAGACTTCCACTTTGGGATGTCCAAAACTGACTTGGTGATACAGGGTTATAGTTCTGAAGAGAGTCTAGGGCTGGATATAGAGATCTAAGAATCATCTGTATAGTGATAATAAATTGAACTCATGAAAGCTGATGAAATCACCAAGTAAAATATAGTATAGAGCAAAACGAAAAGAGGGCCCAGGGAAGAATCTTGAGGAATACCTATAGAAAGTAGGCATGCCATAGAAGAAGAACTAGCAAACAGAGGAGCAAGCAGTCTTACAGATAGGAAAAGAACTCTCTGTTATTAATCTCAAAATGGGTATGATATAGTTCTTCCAGTAGAAGACCTGTCTTTTGTTTCTATGATTTACAGGTAAAATATCAGCAAGACAAGTTAATGTTTATAAATGGCCTAAATACCATATGATTCTTAGCTCTGCCCCTTCTTTCACCACTATGCCACTGCCATGGGAGGGCCACAGAAGACTGAGAACTATTTTGTATTTTTCTTTGTTTAATTGGTTGCCAGTGCTAAATAATTCAGTTGCTAGCCTATAAGTGATTAATTCTCTATACTTATCTCCATAACTTCTTGAAAAGTAGACTCAGTCTGTTATTAGAGCCATATTGGAGGGCCTTTTCAGCATGGTGTAACATACTAGGGCTTGTGTTTTAGTATCATAACCTCCAGGTACTAAAGGACAGCATCACACTATGAGGAGGCACTGGAATAGAACTTTGTGGGTATCTTAAAATGTCATTGCAAAACAATTCACAATTCTCAGCCTACCTCTGCTCTTACCTAGTCATGTGATCCAGCATAAGTTAGTGACCGTCTCTGAGCTTCAGTTTTTAAATGTGTAAGATGGGGATAATATCTGTTCTGATGGGAGAGGCACCATGCTCTCTCTGGTGGCTATGGGATTAGCCTTGGAGTTAGGAAGACCAGGGCTCCAGACCTATTTTGGACACTGACTTGCTGTATGAAATTGGGACACTCCCTTAATCTCTCAGGGTAATTAGCAGCTCTTTCAATGGGTTGTTGATCTGTTTCTGTAGAAGCAGTTTCCAGAACATGGATATCCCCAAGATTCTCAAAACAATAATGAAATCTTAGGTCAGGACTGAAAAACAAAACTTTAGCAACCCCCAAATCAGATACCTGTTCTGATTCCTTTGTGGGGTTATTTAACAATAAGAATGTTTATGGAAACAAATACCATATTGAAGTAAGCTTTTATCATTGTTGCTAACCTTTTTTTGTAATTTGAGTTTAGGGAGTGATGCTTGTTTCAATCCAGATGTTATTGATGCCCCTAAGAAGCATACTAGCCTGCTTATTAATTTTGAGTATAAAACAAGATAATTCATGGGAGAAAATACTGAAAATCTGAAAACACTTTGCATTTATGAACACTTATTATTAAGCTCAGTTAATTAGTCCCATTTTAACTGATATGGATTTTCCGTTACTTTATATTGTTAGTGCAAATTCATAATTAGAGTGGATGGACTGATCCTGTGTAAAAGATTAGACTATTCACCTTTTATTCATTTTAAATATGTACATTTATATGTACATTTATTCATTTTAGATATGTACATTTGGAAATGTGTGTCTAGTTTCTCTATTTGATTAATAGTCATTTTCAATAGTAAGTACTAAGACCATCAAATCACCTTCTTCCTCTTGCAAAAACTTTTTTCCCCCTTGATTACCATTATCCTTTTAGTAAGATAGCTAGCATCATTATTTTTCAGTCAGTCAAATTTATAATTTTCATCTCGTAGTTGTTCTTATTACTGAAGTTATCATGCCAAAAAGCTATAATCAAGCTCTTAAAAAAGATAAAACTAGACCAACTATTCAGGAACTTAAAATAGTCATAACATGTAAAAAAAAGTCATAGCTCCTTTTCTGGTTTCATATTTTCCAAATCTCCACAACTTGCTAATACGCCTGCTATCTTACCTTGGCTAGGACTTTCCCCCATTTCATGTTTTAATTTAATAGCATCTTTTTTCAATTAACTATCATGTCTTTTCCTCTCCTTCCTACTTCCCTCGCCCTCAACTGAATGCGAAAGATAAAGAGGAAAACTTCATAACAAATTCGCATATTGCAAAGCAAATTTCCTCATTTTTCTTATCCAAAAATATATGTCTGATTTTGCATTTTGAGTCTATCATCTCTCTGTCAGGAGGTGGGTAGCAAGCTTCAGCTTGGAATCATTCTACCCAACTGGAATCATGGTCTAATTGATTGGAGTTCTAAAGACTCTTAAGTTCTTTTTCAAGACATTATTAACTGGATGAGACTTTTATTGAATCCAGTAAATACATTTATCTCTTAGGTAAGTTGAAATTGCTTTAAACGTTTTGTTGGAGGGTAAAAAAGTCAAAGACTTAGTGTCACAATTGGACAACCTTAAAGACTAATTGGGAATTTTGTTAGAATCATAAAATCTAAATCTGGAAGGAACTTTAGAAGTCCATGGTTGAATTTTACTAGTAACTCATAGGAAAACATCCTATTTTAAAATAAATGATCCTAAGTAAGCACTGTAGGATGTCAAGATGTTCTTATATTACTCCTTTGACCCTTATATAGACAGCAAATAAAATCCTACTAATCCTGTCACAGTTTCACTTCATCCAATGCAGATTTCACTCAGGTATCTTCCCATAAGAGGCATACATTCTAGTTGTAAAGGTAAAATACACATGAGAGATTAGAGTTAGAAATGTCAGGAAAAAAAAGCACATATACACAATACTGTATTCTGTTTTTTAGGCATAAGTCTACTAGAAGCCATTTGATTTAATTTAATAGTATTCTTTTCTCTAAGCATTTCTCTCCTGGAGAGAGAGATGTCCAAACTAGCATAGTTCCCCCATGCCCAACAACATTTTCTGTCTACTCCAAGACGATTCAAGGTAACATTTATAGGAACCTTTGCCAATGAAAAGATCCCATAGTATATTAAAATACACTTTGGGGTTAGCATTCCGGAAGAGTCACTACTCATTTCCTTCCTCAACCACTCCCTTCTCAAGGATTGAAAGGATATCTCAGTGATCTCTCTATTCCCATTTTTCCTGTTGTGTCTTGGTAGAATAGAAAGGGCCCTTGTTTTGGAGTTCAAAGGCCTAAGTTCTAATTCTACTCCAGATGCTTACTAAGGGAGTGATCTTGGGCAAGTCAATTAACTACCTTGGACCTCAGTTTTCCTCATCTGTAGAATGGGGGGTGGCTGGTGTTGGACTAAATGTCCTCCTAAGTCATTAGAGATCAGTTCTAGATCTATATCCTAAACCCTATTCATCATTTTAATTACCTTTACCTCCATGAAATCTTTTCATATCTCCCAATCAGTAATGATCTTTACCGTCAGACCCCACAAATCACATCTTTTTCACAGAATCTAAAAGCTAGAAATGAGAGGAGTTTCATGTGGTAAAAGAGTTGCCCTTAACAGTTCCAGCACTCAGTTGAAGTATTGCCTCTGACATATAAAGGTTGGGTGACCCTAGAAACTCACTTATGCTCTCACAGCCCCAGGCAGCTCTCTAAATTTATAAAACTGCCTAATCTTTGCCAATCTGCATTTTCCTAGAGGAAGTTTCCCTCTACCCACAAAATCATAGGTTTGGACTGAAAAACTAACCCTGTGACCAACCAAATAACAGTGACAAATAACCTAGAAAGAAAAGTAGGGGCTCCTAGTGCAATGAGTATCATATCTGTATTGGTGTCATATCTAATCCCTGCTAAACTGTCAGCTCCTTCAGGCTAGTGACCATGTCTTACTGAAGCTTTGTTATGTCCCCAGTTTTATATCTCTTCCAGGATCCATTTGGCATGTAGAGTAGTGATATGGATGTGATTATTCTTGCTGTATCTCATAAAACAGATTCCGTTGCTGTGGGGCAGTTCTCATTTTTAAAGAATTTACTTAAAATGGGGGCAGCTAGGTGGCACAGTGGATAGAGCACTGGCCCTGGATTCAGGAGGTCCTGAATTCAAATATGGCCTGAGACATATAACAGTTACTAGCTGTGTGACCCTGGGCAAGTCACTTAACCCCATTGCCTAGCCAAAAAAAAAAAAAAGGAAAAAAAAAAAGAATTTACTTAAAACCTACCTTCCTGTAACTTCTATCCATTGGTCCTTATTCTATCCTCTGGAGCTAAATCAAGTTCCTTTTGATCTTCAAATGATTAAAAAACAAATTACATGTCAAGTGTCATCATTTTCTAAAGTTGTTATAGACCCTATAACGCTTTTAACCAAATCCTTGTGGTCCCCCTCCCCACTTTTTTTTTTAATAGAGATGATGAAGAGAAAAAAAAATCTTCAGAAGGAACTGACGAGAAAGCTAATGGAACCCATCCAAAGACCATCAGTCGCATTGGCAGCACCACTAATCCTTTCCTGGACATTCCTCATGACCCGAATGCTGCTGTTTATAAAACTGGATTTCTGGCTCGAAAAATCCATGCAGATATGGATGGAAAGAAGAGTAAGCAATTCTGTTTATTGTCATTTTCACATTATCCATATGTCAAGTTTCCATGCTCAGGATTTGGAAGGAATTAGACCTTTGCGCTTTATTCCATTTGAGGTAACAGAAGTCAGACATAGCCTACCAGAGATTTTAAGTTCTATATTGTAAAGGCATGAACTATTTGTATGTCTTTGTATCCCCCTCAGGACTTAGTACAGTTCTTTACACATGATAGACACTTACTAAAGGCTTATTGAATTGAATTCATTTCAATTTAAACAAATAAAGGTAAGTGATTTTCTTTTATTCTCAAGTGGAAAAAATGTTTTTGAAGGTGTATGAAAGTGTATTTTCTATTGGAATACCTGCTCTTCTCCAAATATCATCACAGAATGTTTTTAAAAATAATTTTTATTCATTTTATTATTTACACAACTATATTCTTTAGAAATTATTTAATAAAATTTATTAACAAGTATTATTTATTTTTTCTTTTTATATCACCCATGTTCATAATGATGTTCTTGCAGTAGACTAAACCAGAATATAAAAAAGTTGCAAGAAAATGAATCACTTCCAGCTTCTCTTTGCCTTGCTGAGAAATGTTTTAGATTAAGAAATAAAAGAGGCCAGTAGTTTAGAGATGACTCAGAAGTCCCATCATATATCATTTCTCCCTGTATTCTTCCCCCTTTGTCTTCCCTGAGAACTGTCTCTTATGTCAAAGAATTTTAGCATCATCCACTGTTAAAAAGCTTGAAGGGATTTCAGAGATGATCTGATTTGAACCTTTCATTTTGCGGATAAGGAAACCAAGCAGAGGCTTAATAAGATTAGCTGATTTATCCAAACACCTAATTAATGAAAGATCTGGCCCTAGAACCCAAGCCTGTTGATCGCGGCTCTAGAGTTCTTTGCGCTATTCCACATTTTGCAGTTTTCAAATGGTGAGAATAATGGCAAAGAAAGGCAATTGCATTATTAGTTTCTGAAACTTTAGACTCCATGGAATTTGTCTTTGCCAATTATTCCTAGTATAATTTCTTGATGCAGTATTTGTTACATAGGCATAAACTCTTACTGAGCTCCTGAGCTGAGCCTTGAAGGAAGCTGGGGATTTGATTACTTCTTAGGGAACCTTGCTGTAAGGATGATCTGAACACATCTGCATCTAGGCAGTGGGGCTTTATTTACGTTCTCTGGGTTCAGCGTTATTGATTTGTTTGCCAAAGAGCTGTTCTGTTTTTTACACATGTGTAAGCATGGCCAGATGTTTTTCTGTTGACAGTTACTGTACAAGTATGTGATTGGTAAATGAATATTCAGGTCAAAGCTCTATGGAGAGATTATTTTCTCCTACAATGCTGATTAACTTGTCTCTAAGGGACCACTTTGGCTGTCTTAAGATTTTGGTATCTTTAATTTTGTTTCTCCTTTAATATTTGTTGTGAGGTTAGAAGACTCAGTTGTTAGGTTTTAGTTGTGACTTATTAAAAAAAAGTATTTAAGAAGAACCATGAATTCTAAAAACATCATTTGTTTATTTTTTTAAAAAAGATTTGCCCAGCTTAGAAATTTTAACAGTTTGAGGCAAATCATGATTAAAGGAGCAGGTCAGATCTCTCATAGAACAGCAGTATTTACCAAGCGCATTAAATTTGACATTTTGACAATGTTTAGAAAAGGTAAATCAGGAATGCAAATGTACTTTGTGGATTGTCAAGTTAAAAACAACCACAGCCACAACTTTAAAACTTACCTAAGTCAGCTGCTTTGAAGTGAGGGGGAGCAGTGGGTGTGGTGGTGCATACCTCTAGGCCCTTGCTGCTAGAGGTTAAGGAGGCTAAGGCTGGTAGATTCACTGAGATGTGGAGCTCAAAGCTGCATTAGGGCTAATTCTGACACCATTATGGGGAGCCTCCTGGAGGAGAGGGTTATCGTAGTAGGGGTGAACCAGCCAAAGTTGGAAAAATTGAGTACATTAAAGCTTCTGTGCCTGTTAATATTGGGATTCCAGCCCATATGTAGTCACTACACTTCCAACCTAGATGAGACAGAGGGACCTAGTCTCTCAAAAAATAAAAATAATAAAGGAAATGAGATGAAGAGCAACATAGTTGCTCTGCTATTGAATACATTTGTGACCTTGGGCAGGTCGCTTAAACTCTCAGTTTCCCAGTTTCCATATGACCTTTAAGGTCCTTTCCAAATCTGTTATCTATGACTTTTTACTATCCTGTGACTAAAGCATCTGTGGAATTCTAGTAAATGGCGTAAAGACACACACCTTCAAAATGTCATTAAGAAATATGTGTGAGGGGCAGCTAGGGGGCCCACTGGCCCTGCAGTCAGGAGGACCTGAGTTCAAATCCAAGCTCAGACACATAACACTCACAGCCTATGTGACTCTGGGCAAGTCACTTAACCCCAATTGCCTCACTAAAAAAAAAACATCTATGAGTGGTTGACCTACAAGATGGAAAATGTATGCTTCCTACCTGAAACTTCTGTATCTAATAAGTTTATTGGGTGGGGACTGAAGTACAGTTGTAGTATACTAGGTGGTGGAGTGGATGGAGCACTGGATTGGAAATCAAGAAGACTCGTCTTCCTGAGTTCAAATCCAGCCTCAGACATTTACTAGCTGTATGACCCTGGGCAAGTCACTTAACACTGTCTTCCTCAGTTTCCTCATCTGTAAAATGAGCTGAAGAGGGAAACGGCAAAACACTCTAGTATCTATGCCAAGAAAACCCCAAATGGAGTCATAAGAGTCAGACATGACTGAAAAAAGAATGAACAACAATAGTTAGCACAAGTGTAACAGGAGATCAAGTATGACAATGATTTGAAAACTTTAAAGCACTCTTTTTTTTTTGGTTGAAACCTGTTATTTCATCAGTATGTGGAAAATTTCTTTCTTTCTTTTTTTTTTTTTTTGGTTAAGCAGTGGGGTTAATTGACTTGCCCAGGGTCACACAGCTAGTATGTGTTATGTGTCTGAGGCAGGATTTGAACTCAGGTCCTCCTGAATCCAGAGCCAGTGTTCTATCCACTGTACTACCTAGCTGCTCCTTAGTATGTGGAAATTTCATTCACAGATGAAGTTGAGCAGCTTGTCTGTAGCAGTCTTTGAGAGATGGTGGGGGTATTGAGAGATTAAGTAGTTTACCAAACATGACTAGTTTGTGTCAGAAGCAGGATTTGAACCTAGGACTTCCTGGCTCCAAAGCCAATCTTCTATTTACTATTAAGCAGCTCTCTCTATGTAATGCACTTCATGAAACTTAAAGCACCATATTTTTTTTAAAATAAAAGTCTTCCTCAAGTTCAGGTCCCCAAATTGTGTGTGGTCTCCGATTGAAGATAAGTGGCATGTGTGCAGATATTGCAGGAGACAGTTGAAGGCTCTTAGTGACTAAATAGTCTGTGATTTATACGTTGGGTCAGTCCTCTGTGAAGAACTTGGACATGGATGAAAATCAGATAGGATGAGAGGGGTGAATGTATTGTGAGAAGCTTTCAGTCATGAGGTCCTGTGAGGGTAGATTGAGACTTGGAGTATTAAAAACTCGGGACACTCATGATAGCTGTCTTCAGGTATTTGAAGGGCTGTTATGTAAAGGGGACTAGGTTTACTCTGCTTGGCTTCAGAGAATAGAACCAGGAGCAGTGAGTAAGATGTTACAAAGAGGTAAAAATTAGGCGTGCTATCAGGAAAAACTTCCTCAGAGAGGTGGAAGACTTGGGGTGCAGAATGAGACATCGTTTTTTTGACATGGCCAGTGTTTGACTTTGTTTGCTGTTTGTTACAAGGATTTTTCTTTTCCTTTCTTTGGGGGAATGAGACTCGGAAGGAAGCTCAGGAAAGGTCCCCCTACTCTCCACCCTTCAAAAACGAGAAGAGCACAGAAAACAGGCCAGGAGGAATCACAGACATGTAGGGCGGCTTTGAAAGTCACATGTTAGATTGATTATACACTTCAGAAGCAAAGCAAGCTCAATATAATAATGATAGCTAGCAATTTAAAGTTTGCAAAGCACTTTGCACGTTATATCGCTTGATCCTCACAACAACTGTGAATTAAGTGCTGTTATTATCCTTCTAGTACAGATGAGGAAACTGAGGATGAGAGGGGTTAAGTGCTTTGCCCATAGTCACACAGCTCTGAAGTGTTTGAGGGAGGATTCATGAACTCAGATCTTCCTGTCTCTGAGGCTAACACTTTCTCCCACCATACCATTTAGAGGCTGGTGTAATGGAATTGGCTGCTGTGATGGCCTCCTTCTTCCACAGATGAAGGTTGCAACCCTTCTGCAGCTCAGACAATTGCTGTGGCCATGAAAATCAGTCATCCTGCCTCCAGGCAATCCATCAATATTATTAAACACCTCCTGTGGACCAAGCCCTGTTTTAAGCTCTGGAAGTTCAAAAAGAGGCATAAGACATCCCCAGCCTTCAAGGAGCTCACAGTCTCCTGGGGGAGACAAGCAAGCCTTGTATAGAATAAATCTCTTTGAACGTAGTTGGTTCTCAGCTGGGTCCTAAGAAAACAGATGTGTAGTCCATTGTTGTTGTTTTATTTAGTCATTTTTAGTCCTGTTAGACTCTTCATGACCTCATTTGGAGTTTTTTGGAAAGATCCTGGAGTGCTTTGCCAATTCCTTCTCCAGCTCATTTTACAGATGAAGAAACTGAGACAAACAGGGTTAAGTGACTTGCCAACAGTCACACAGCTAGTAAGTAAGTGTCTTGAGGCCAGATTTGAACTCAGAAAGATGAATCTTCTTGACTCCAGGCCCAGCGTCCTATCTGCTACCCCACCTGGATGCCCTACATGTAGTCTATTACTAGACCCATATTTCTGCAGACCATCTCTAATCATAACTAGATGAGGCTGAAAACTTTCTTATGTGAACTTGTAGAAGTCACGCAGTCTTTTTAAAACAATGACACTTTAGTAATAATTAAATTACAGAATCTTTATTTGGCAAACTGTATTATATAACTATCA